TTGTTATCAGGAAACGATTCATTTTCTTTCATGATCGTTAGGCCTGTTAATTTTTATGTGTTTGACGTAGACAATTGAATGGAATAAGTTACTTAAGGTACGAAATACGTTTAAAGCAATAAACCCTGCAAGCTACATAACTTCATGACGTACGTTGGGTTTTGGATTCACATATTGGGCATTCCAATAAGAGTATATATTAGCATATACAAATATAAGTGCAAAAATCACATTATATGTAAAAAATACGTTTATTATTATTATATTTTTACTAAGTCATTAGTTTTAACCCTAACAACTATTTAGATTCGAGTTGTCTGTCTCTTGCATTGCGAACAAAGTATGTTGGAAATAACTGCATGGAAACGATTTGTAAATATTTTTTCTTCACTAAATTCGGATGAGCAAAAACGAAACTAGTTCTTAGCTTACATGTTTCATTTTTGTGCCATCTAAGCCTACATATTGTGTATTTAGGGTAGGACGACAGTTGTGTAAAAAAGCGAAAAAAAAAAAAAAAGACTTTCGAATCACGTGACAAGTACCGCTGAAAATCACGTGTCTAACCAGCGAACTAGCCAGTCTGTTTTAGACGGTCGAAGGATGTGGTTACGTGGATGTATTTCTTCAGAAAGTTTCAGGTAAGTTATGAAATATTATGATACAGTTAGTTAATTATTGCTAATAAATGACATTCTTAGACAATTTCTACTTGGTGATGTTTTGGTATTACCATGGATTTTACGATAGTCCGGTTCAAGGTCAAGCTATTTTGTACCAATACTCTGACTATACACTAATACAGTAAGGGGCAAAATGGTGTTAATTCTACTACGCTATAGTTGGCAGTGCGAGTCCCAGGAATGAAGAATTTCTAGTCTAGCTATGTCAGAAACATGTAAAATAAAAACAACTCGTGAATCATGTTTATGTTATTATGAACTTCATACTTTCCTCACCATTTGATACGGTTTTGTTTGATTTACTGTCTTCTATTTTATTTTTTCTAATCATCAATGTTTGTTTGATTGAAACTGCCAATGACATATCATTTGTTTCTTCCAGCGTTATATATTTTGGAAATAACAGTCATTGAAAGCAAAGGAATTATAGATATTTTCACAAACGAGGTAACAAGTCGTTTAAAAATAACATTCTGCTTGATGAGAAAGATTGTTTGCTAAATCATAGTAAATGTTAATAAAGTGTAGCACCCAAGATTTTGTTGTTTCTGCCATGGTCATTCGGTCAGCTTATAAAAAAAAAAAAAGTTATAACGTACTTGAAGAATAAACCGAGAAAACAAACAAGAAAAGAAAAAAAAGAGTGAAATGTAGACATTTAGAAGTTAAAGTATATTCATAGTATTAATAAACCCAGCCGTGTACTACGTTTAAAAAATCTTTTATATAACTACAAGAACTACGCATAAGTATCGTAGTAGTAAATTTCAAATGTTGAAACTAGCTTTGAGTTTTACGTATTTATTGATGTTGGGACTAATTATTATTTTTTTATTAAGCTATAGGGGTATTCATTG